AAACCGTTATTAACAACATCTTCACGATAGCGCTAGGAAAGTAAAGAGTCCACATGTTGCCAAGAGACGACTCTCTTCGAGGACTCTCGAGCTGATATGCCAGCGTGGAATCGCGCGAGCTACAGGCAGTCATCTACAAATGTCCGAACTTGCGAAGCTATGCAGAGAAGCGATTAAGGAAGATCTGAAAGAGAGGAGAGCAGCATTTAAGGCGGTCCCACCGAACCGGAAAGATCATTCGCAAAGCCCGATGGAACTTCGCCATTTACAAGACCAAGATGACTTCCCTGTTGCTGTATTGCAGTGCTCGAGCAGGCGGAGCGAATGCTGGCCGAATCCGACAACGCTTGTGGAAAGATCGGATTACGACTGAACCTAACGAAGACGATTTTCTGCGAAACGGATTGTCACCTGATGCTCCTTTCACGTTGAACGGAACGAATATTTCTGAATGCTTTAGGTCGGGAAGTCAAAATGATGAACGATCTGGCACCGGAGCTGAGCAGACGAAGGCGCGGCGTGGGAAGCGTTCCAGAACATCGAAGGGGAAATGAAGAAGAAAAATAACATCCGGCTCCACGGTCACCTTTCCTATAATGCTTTTCTTCCTGCTTTGGCATACGCCTCGGAGACCTGGACTCTACGAAAGCAGTATGAGCATGCAGTTAGCGTCATTCAATAGGGCCGAAGTTTTCTGTACACGCAAGTGCAGAAGGGAATCAAGGGTTTTGAGCTTCGCCACCGAACGATGATCAGGATGCCGTTGATTATGCCAAGAAATCGAAGATCAGTTGGGCCGGATACTTAAGGCGATATAATGGATATAATGATGACCGTTGGACCAGAGCGATTACTGTTTGGATCCTTCGGGACATCATACGAACTCCAGAACGGCCGCAAAAGAGATGGTCAGACTTCTTCACGAAAGTTCTGAACGAAAGGAATGTTGGGCCTTGCGGGACACGTCCCTGAAGCGATGACTATTCGCTGAACCACACTGGCTCGTGACAGGGACGAATGGAGAAGCCAATGCGCCCGTTTGAGGAAATTGATGATCAACGGGCGACAGATGATACGTGATAGTGATACGTAGTTGCCAGTTGGTGTCTCTCTCAGGATAAATTGTTGTAGGAAGGAAATGCTAATTGTTTGATGCTGTATCACGAAGGTCTGAAGAATGGAAGTATTAAGTGTCCGAGGTTCACAGAGTTTTGCTGATGCATTCCCCACGTGCGGCCTGGCGTCATAAGGCTCCCCAACTCCACAGGGCAACCCAAGTGTGCGAGAAGCCGTCCTCTCATATCCGCCCCAGCCAAGTTGCACAGTGAGGCCATTGAAGTCTCTGAGGATGGAAGTTGACTTTCGTACGGTCGGTAAGCTTCCGACGGAACGAAAGCCATTTCAAGAAGTATTGCATTCACAACATATTTGCCATGGATCATTAGGAGTTATTAGGAGTTTGTGCCCCTTTGTTCCCTGTTTTCGAGTGATTTTTACCAAAAACCGGGACGTCACAAACTTCGATTGAGGACATCAAAGACGCTTTTAAACTACCTTCACTATTTGATGACCTAGATCTACAAGGTTTGTCAGTGATTCTGGATTTTGGGATCTAACGTTTTTGCAGCAGTTGATAATAGCGCTTGAATAATCAAATGGAAGGAAGCTTCAAATCCTCTATCAAATGCATGAGTATCTCTGTTTGCAAATTCCGGGACGGTGTTCCCTCCTATCTGAGTCGGTGCAACAGACCCGTTAAAGAGTTCTAGGATAGATCTTCATTCAGCTGCGGGTGACTGTCTTTTCCAAGTAATTCTCAATCTTCAGATGCTACATATTATTTTCACAGCGGTCGCATGCGTTTTATTCATGGTTTATCTTGCCTTAGATACCCAGGTATTGAATGTTGCATAAAATCTATTGCATTCTGCTGAAAACTCCTGAAAAATGCCCTTGCTCATTCAATACATAGCATATTGTTCAGATGATAATTGGTGGACGAAAATACGAAATTTCTCCGGAAGAATACATATTCGCAGCTCTGATGCTTTTCGTGGACATCTATGAGATATTTATCACGCTGCTGGGTCTGTTTCAGGCAGCAGAATAAATAAGCAGAACGAATACAAAGAGTACCACAAAACTGTTAATCTAAAACGTATGAAGCTTGCTTGAGAACCTTGAATAAAAATTAGAGTGAAAAATTCGTGTTGGTGATTTTTTTGTCAGATGTAAACTTGAAGGCAATGGCCCTCATTTAAGGGCTAATGTCACGGTTTTCGAAACTAGTAATCAGACTTATGTTAGATGAATCTAGTCCACAACGAATGAGATTTGAATCACTGAGACATTCTACACTGAAACTGGGACATCCTCCTGGGATCGGGTGAATGACAACACGATGTCCCTCACAAATAGGATGGCGAGAGATGTAGTTAGGAATTCACATGCAGTGCATGCATATAAGATGTCCTAAAATTATTGGACGCCAACTCACGACAACGTTTCTAAAGCTTGCCAACTGAGAGTGACAATGGAATCCATACGCACGTTTGCTAACATGGTGTGCTACACGATGCTACAATCACATTTCAAAATATCTCCCATGAGCGTGGATGGAGTTTGCTTCCAAACTCCTACCATGTTGCACGCAGGTTTCCCTTCTCCGATTCTTCACGGCCGTTCTTGAGCTTGCGTTTCAGGACTCAAAATTGGGACTGCGAGCCCGACATGTCCTGTTCTAGTCAGGAATCGTGCGGAGGAGTCAAGTGAGCAACGATATGGAGAGCATGATAGTCATTCCTCGTTGCTAACGAAGTTAGGCAGCTAGCGTCGGCAGCACTACCGTACACGCTTGGCTCTGTAGGTTGGAGTACCGTCTTGCTGGAAGGGCTACGAGTTGTTTCAGAGAGCGGATTCGGAACTGTGCTTCAGAACGCCAATCAGACGCTTTCTAAGTACACGTCTTTGTCACTTTTCACGCCTTTACCGACTATGCCAACAACTTCTCACCCTTGCCATTGAATGCCTTGAAAAAATACCATTTTCCTGTTCTTTGCACATTCGAGATAAGTCCTGCTTCTTTGCCGTCCTTCCAATAGATTACCCAGGATCACAACAGACCATTTTAGTAATTTGAACTTTAGAAGCACTGCCCTCTTCACCCTTTCCTGGTTAGTTTTCGATTAGATTTTCTTCTCTGTGTCCTTTAACAGCCTTCTCCTGTACGGATATTATAGTAATCACAGGGAATTTCATAGTAAACTTTCGCCTCCCGCATACTAATGAATACGAGTGGCATTTAATGAGCCTCGGGCATCTAAAAGATATAAGGAGTTTCACGTCAGTGACCATGCATATTGCATAAAGACCTACTTAGTCAACTAATTGATAGCGGGTAAAGTAAATCTGATGCTCATGCTTATGTGCCAGAAGGGACCATGCCGAGGAGCCCTTTTCAGAACAGCATGGAAAGTGGGAATGTAGGTTGAGATGGACGGCAGCTCCAAAATGAGATGGCAAACTGCCAATAAATAACATTGCACTAGCGTGACAATGACCAGCTTTTCAGTCTTGAGTGAAAAGTTCACGATAAGAATAACTTTTGAGGTATCCCGCTAGAATGAATTTGTAGGACTCCTATATGCTATGAGGCGCTCTCATAGCCGAAAACGGCCTAAATGGGGCGCTATAAAGGCTCAAAGATTGTACCGTGTGTATCCCCGGACGAGTTTCACCGCATTGTAGAGACTTCAGCGAACGAAAGGAAGTCACGTCAATGTAGGTAGATCAAACATCTTGTCATAATCAGTAGCGACAGTGAAGGGCAGCTCTATACAGTTCTTCCTTAATGTAGTCAGCTCTTTCTGCAATTGCAAAAACTGAAATCTCGTCCGAATATCCCTCCCATGTTATTTCCGTAATTGTAATCTCGTCCAGCCTCTACTTCTCCTACTTTTAAGAAGACTTATTTTCCTCAGAATCGACGAATTTTCTCGTTTTCTTCACTACCGTTGAACTATTCCCACCTTGCATTTCCGCTTTTCGATTAAAAAGGAATACCTCAAATTATCGCGGACTGTGCCTTCGAAAAGGTGTGGGTAAAACGAGCTCGGGTTTCATAACTCCAGAGATTACTAATATCAGCCGCAATGCTCTTTCAAAGGCTTTGTTTACAATAATTTCCGGAAATCTAGTGGAAGTACAGAATAGTGCAAACAATGGCGAAGAAAACACGAAAATCGGAGTATTCAGGGAAATATGTGGGTTCAAAAAGTAGCGAAACCAGAGACTGGACGAGAAGGTGACAACACAAAATGGTATTTTTGCGTGCTGTCTTAATGTGTTAACCATTGCTTACAGTGTGCTACAGTCAGCGCCTGCGTGTAATGTGTGCGTCTTGATGCGAATGGCACACCTCCACAGCCCCTTCATCGCCGTGAGAACTCGTCCGCCTTATGGGGTGTCATTGGGTTTTAGGGCTCTTATTATGCTCCATATAAACCGTTTTTCAGCCCACCAACCTTCATTGTGCTATCCTTGAGGTGGGACGTTGATCTCAGGATAAATCTCAGAACCCATCTCAGAATTCATCGTGAATTGTGCCCAGCAAGAATGATTTGGATAGCAGGATGGTTGCTATACGTCAGTTTTCCGTGATAAACACTATTTACGATTCATCCAGTGAAGATTCCCCAATTACTCAGCATTGTTATGTCGAATGAACCGGTAGCTCCACCCTATAACTGGAGTGGTGACGATTATAGAGGACGGTACAGTGGCGACGATTACAGAGGACGAAACAGTGCCGAGGATTACAGAGGACGTCACAGTGGCGACGATTATAGAAGGCGAAACTCTGGGGACAGGAATTCTTATGATGGGGTAAGTAATCACCTTATTTCTACGAAAATATCCTGACGTAACGATGACCAGCTTTTCAGCGTGACATCGAAGGATATGGTAAAAACGCGATTGGGTTCGATAATGCTTCAATTAGAGCGGGATTTGTTCGGAAGGTTTTTTTCATCGTGACAATTATGGTGATCTTTCAACATCTAGAAGATGCCAGAATTCCATGTGTAACATTTCAAACATTCAGTTGCTGGTTGTCATTCTCATGGTTACTCCCGTAGTTGTCAGTACTGAACTAAGAATGATGGTAATCGAATACAGATGGATCGGTTTTATTGCTGCGTCAGTGTTCCTCACCTTCAGCGAGAGAGTAGTGACTATTGATAGGAAAAAGTTCAAATTCTTCGTCAGCCATTAATAACATTTGAAATAATTCTTTTGCTACAGCGTAGTGTACTTGGTGACATTGTGTGGTCTAGCATGTTGCCGCTCACTGGCTCGATGTTTTCCTCTGAACTTCATGATTTTAGCAATATTCGTGAGTTTTACGCTTTTTTGGTGTTCGCCATCTAAGATGTGTTATCTCTGTGTGAAGGGGAATACATTTGAGCTACAATTCCGAGGACACATGCATAAAACAAAGGAGTTACGCTGCAGTTTGGAGGAGTAAACACTTATAAATAAACAAGTGCAACTTGTTATCTTGCCCTATATACGTGAGAAGATTGAAAGGCAAAGTTCACGATAATTTTGGGCTGCCCAGTTTTAGACGAAGCAGTTGAGTCGTTCGGCTTACGCCGGGCCTCATTTCTTACTTTTACAAAATAGTAAGAGAGTGTAGATAGGGGGAGGGG